TTTTTATGAAATTGCAATAAGTAACTTTAGCAACTTTACAAGTTTCTATCATGTTTATATCATATTTTCAATTGACCAGCAAGGAAACTTGAATTTGTGATTAGCAGTTACAGGAAATTCACCCGATTACTTTCTTGACAAAGCTGGTTCAGTGAATGCTTGTTTTTTCTCTCCTGTTGCCCTCAGTTTTTATTTTTTCTTCATATCACTTTATATCTCTGATGTTTCCCCATTCCTGTCTAGTTTGTGAGTTTGCCAATTCATTATCTCCTACATATTGCGTCCAATTTGTTGTACAATTTTCCATAAACACATCTTAGATTATTCTTTTCATTTGTCACATTTTATTTTCAGGTTTTTCATCGAGTTGAGGGGAATTTTGCTAGTATAATGATTAAAGTATTTTGATGTAAAATCTACTGTGGTTCAAGAGAGAGCTCATAGGGAAGAGGCAGATGTCTTGCATGTCTGACTATGACATACAATGGCCACACCAAGATTTCATTGCCCAACCAGGAATGCAAAGTGTAATCTTAGAGGGCGCCAGCAATTTGGATTTTAAGCAAGACCACATTGTCAGGCCTAGCCACCATCTTTCAGGGCCATATTGCCAGGACAGGACCCTGATCATCACTACAGGCATTCCTATAAACAATTAAAAATAAAACATATATACAAGTAGATTGTAATGAATCTCTTAGTCTGTGGCACTGTAGCACTATCCTCCCATTGTTCATCGATTTACTTGAGCGGGCACCAGTAACTTCTCCATTGTGAGGCCTGTTACTGTTTTTGGCATATCGAATACGCCACAGGGAGCCTGCCAGGCTCTGTCGTGCGGGTAGAATACTCTTGGTAGCTTGCTGGGCTCTCCGAGAGGGACGGAGGACTCAAACCTGGGTCGGCTATGTACAAGGCAAATGCCCTACCCACTATGCTATCTTTTGTCTACATGTTATAAAATGCACATAGTATAAAAATATAGCAGTTCCTTCCTTGCTTTGCGTTCCTATTCCCTTACTCTCAATTTGAAAAGACATGAATGCCCTAGATACGTGTCATGATCTATAATTTAGAAATGCCTCTTAATTTAAAAGCATGAAAGAAGTTGAGAATAATGCAAAAAATTCCAAATGATGTGTAGCCTCATCACTTCCTCGCTCCACATGACCCTAGCATGGATTCTGGCCTACACTTCTTTTCATGATACCTTTAGGCTGTATGCCTTTGTTTCCTGACCCCCAACGATGCGGCTCAATTAGTTTAGAATGAACTGGTGTCTTCTGGATTGAGAAAATTCTCCTTTAGGATACTGTTTGGCCAGTTGTAAGAATGAATGAAATTTAGGTATCTACCCAAAAGTGTTTTGGGAATTCAAGCACAGTATTCAAATGCTAAATAATCTAGTAGATTTAATCATTATTTTCTGTCTGAACACTAGAATTAGGTGTTTATTTCCAGGAAAAAAAAACAGTAAATGAGTATGCCTAAGACAACAATAGAGTAATGTGATAGGAAAGTTTAGGAAATTCATTGGTTTGAATAATTGCATGTTAAAGTATTTCATAGCTGTAGAATTAAAATAATGATTTTCATTAAGTGAATAAAGTTGATTGAGGTTTTACATTTAATTTGGTAAATCAGTTGTCATCTCTTTTGACTGAGAGGCTAATTGTAAAATACCGTGTACAGATTTTTACTTCCTGTGCTAATCATTATTTTGTTGTCTTAAGCTTTATCATTAAACTCTCCTTGAGTAGATCATACACTGTAAATGCCTTTTCTGATTACAAACTGTTAAGCAAATTTAATAGACTATTTGAGCTTTTCATTTACAAAATTAAAAAAAAAACAAATCTGAAAATCATGCCTTGAGTTTCTATATATCTGGTATTCAGACATAATGATTTCAAGTATTGCTTTATTCTTCACAATACAGTTCTATGTTATGGGAAAATAGAATAAAAACGCTTGTTGCTTCTGCAACTGGGTTGCAAAATTCGCTATGACCATCAGCCAGGAAGTAGTAGGGGCTAAGATCAAAAAATACAGAGCAAAGGGACTGACAGAGAAATTCTGGAACAGCTTTAGTTTATAGCATTATAAACCAGCTACGAGAGGGTTTTTTTTTTGATTACTTAACAAAGATTCAGAAGTAATTTACTCTGTAATCTTTCTGCTCAATGTATTTTTGCCAGACCAGCATATCAACAACCCCTTGAAGCTTGTTAGAAAATTCCAGATCTACAGAATCAGAATCAGCTACTTAAGATCCCCAGAACACTCTTGGGCACATTGGTTTGAGACTCACATCAAATAGGTTATTCATGCATATTTTAAAAAGTCTTATATTAGGTATAGATGTGATATACCACTGGTGATACAAGTGAAATCATAATCTTCATAATATTCTGCTTTCTTAAATTCCATGTTTTAGTAAAAAATACCCATTTCAGTTGTCCTCCATGGCTGTGTTATTGAGCTACTTCTGCAACCATATTCATTCTCCCATAGCAGCCCATGCCATCTATAATCTTCTCTGGTTTGTTATCAGAACCCCCTTTTTAAACCTGAAACGTGTATCCTCAGCTATTTTCACTGTGTTCCTTCCTTAATGGTAGCATACACTTGGCCTCAAACTTCTCTAAAAGCAGAGCTCCAGGTGTTATAAGTCTGCATTTAAAACAGGAGTCATTTTATTGTCGTACAGTGACTTGCAAAGTCCTTACTAAAAAAACCAAATTCTCTCTCTTCAGATGCAATGCACTCTCAGGGTCATGCCACTCCATAAATGCTCTCTCCCTGATGGTCCCAAATATATACCCTGATCAGTTTCTGGAGGGCAATGGCCTTGCCTTTGAACACCCTCATGACCTCCAGTGTGTAGGACCAACCAATTCTAGTTTCTTTCAACAACCTCTCCCATTCATCTTTTCACTAGCACTGTAGCACTATCCTCCCCTTGTTCATTGATTTGCTTGAGCGGGCAACAGTAATGTCTCCATTGTGAGACTTGTTACTGTTTTTGGCATATCAAATACACCACGGGGAGCTTGCCAGGCTTTGCCATGTGGGTGGGATACTCTGGTAGCTTGCTGGGCTCTCCAAGAGGGACGGAGGAATCAAACCCGGGTCAGCTGCCTGCAAAGCAAATGCCCTACCCGCTGTACTATCACTCCAGACCCTTTCACTGGCATCATCCATTTTCTGATATAATATTTACTAAACATTTGGTTTTCTTTCTCCCACTGCATACGCCATAACAGATTATAATTTACAATTATGCCCACTCTGCTTGGCTAATTTACATAGTCATTAATTCCAGAAAATTATACTTATTTCTTGGAGTCTCCATGAGGTTTTCTAAGTATGTAATAGTAATGATATCCTGACATTCCTTCCTACCTGTTGTCTTTTAGTCATAAACTTATGCATTATCTCAATGGACCCTCCATAAAACCTTGCATGCACCAGAAAATATACTAAGGATTAGAGGAGTAATTATGAATAGGACATGATCTCTGACATCAAGAAATTTATGGCATAAAGAATTTACAAAGTTTGTCATGAATGGGTGTACCTGTTACTAAGCCAAGGCTGTCAAATGTACTCAACTCATTGCTAAAGAGTAAAATGTAAGAAGTAGGCCAAAGTCACACAATTGCAAGGAATAAACAGGTGCTTTGCATACCACATTTAAGAGATCAGGATGTTTTATGGATTGTTCAATCAGTGGATATAGTTTTTTATTCACTGGGAGGTATTGTGTATGGGGGGATGGGTCTTTCACTTTGTATAATTTATTGAGCCTTTTAATTGCTCAAGTTTCTCTATCAAATTCTCATGTTCAAAAATAACTGCGAAATTTTGAAGAAAAATAACAAGTGCATGTGGAATGAGAGTATAAGGGACATTTGGCCGAGTCTCAGCAGATACGTTTTTAATCATTCATTTGGCAATCATGTACTGGAGTCTGCCATGTACTTGGTATTGGATCATGGAACAAGGGAATATAAGAATTTGAGATAATTAAAATCACATTTATCAGGAAAGTGTTTTGCATATTCTATCAGTAACATAAGGTCTTTTTTATGTCTCTAGGTTTAAACGTGGTAATTAGTTTAAATTCTTTTTTTTCTTTAAACTTCATATTTTTAATCATTTGTTTTAATGCTTTACAAATTCTAGATTATAAAGCGAATTATACCACTTCTTTTTCATGGTCAACTACATTTTTCTGCCTGTCTGAGTACAACAGAATTTTAATGAAATTATTTTTTCTGATGCCCTTACAGTTCATACAGGACAAAAAGTCAAAAATATTTGACATTATTAATGACGCAGGAAGATGCTCTGGTGGTTATGGATTTTATTTTAATCATCCCTCTCCCTTAGGAATATCTTGATAGGCTGTTTCCAAAAGCAAATAATTCTTTGGATATTTTTTGTGGGTCTAATGTAAAATACATTGACAGAAATAATTTGAAACGAATTTCCTTGGGTTGTAATGAATTTGTGGTTAAATACCTTTAGAGAATTTTTAAAATATTGTCACTGAACTCTATTCTTTATCACCCCTTTTATCGACAGTTCCGATGAAATCCAAATACTTTTTTTCCTTTTTCACGTTTAAATTTTACAACACTTCATAGACTATTAAGCATGGAACATCCTTGTGGGGACAAGAAATCGAATTTGCTCTTGTGAAGATTTCCAACTAATTGATTTGTAGGACATTATAACATCCTCTAGCTGACATGCTTTACAAAAACAAAAGCCTGAGCTGAACCGTAAGGGTGCTCTTTTTTTACTGACACAAAAAATGTGGCCCTCTGACTGGCGTATATCCCTTGCATATGGGACTGTGAATTTCATGGATGAAACTTTCCCGCGGAGGTTTTCCTCTGTGCAGAGGAACAGCAAGTGTTAGCACGTTGTTTAATCGCTCTTCAAAGCGACCAGGGCTTCATCTTTGTTTCCCCTTTTTGGGTATCTTACAGGAACTCCAGAATGACATTGGACAGAGGCGACCTGTTATCGGAATATTAAATGCAGCTGGAGAAGAAACTATTCAACAGTCCTCCAAAACAGATGCCACTATATTAAAAGAAAAATTGGCAAGCCTGAATCTACGGTGGCAGGAGATCTGCAACCTGCTGGAAGAAAGAAAAAAGAGGTAGGATGACAGACAAGATCAAAATTCTAAAATTGTAGCAGATCCCTTTAAACTGGTCTGCAAGATTGCCAGAAGGATTATAACCAGGTGAAAAGCATTAACATTTAGGATCCCATCCACCATGCACTATTCTCTTTCTTGCATACTAAAATAGGTGGCATTGACGACTTAAATAGGAGGTGTTTGCCTCTTATTTTAAATTTTCAAGTTTGTTTTTAGATTACACACAGTTGTTTCAATAGGGACATCTTTGATATATCCCCACGGTTAACAAGGTGAGTTTCCATTATTTTTTTAAAGGTGAGTAAGGGAAATTGAAAACAACTAGTTTGTGGAAAATACTGCTCTAGATTTTTTAATAGCTGTGAGAATGACTATAATGCAGGAAAGCATAATAGTAACGTTTACCTTTTCTTCCACTACTTTTGGTGCCATGACCCAAAAAGGGAACTTGGCTGAAAACACTCAAATATGAAGGGGAAAGCAAAACCTAAGAAAGGTTATTGAATTCAGTCATCAATTAATTTTCCCTTGGAATGGTGCTTGTCAGCACAGAAAGCCCAGTGTATGCTGTTGCAGTCGGAAGGCGTTTCACGAATGGCATTTCCTGTTACTGTGTGTTATTTGTGTTGTTGATGCTAATGTTCCCTGTTTCATAAGGGAGGACCTGGCCTCTATTTACCAAATGAAAACTATTGTTATGAACAATGAAAATTCAATTGTTATCTCAAAGCTCTTGCTTCCTACCTCTCATCTGCATAATAGATGGATTTTAATATTCAGAAAGGTGGAACAACTCACTGATAAACTTTTTGGCTAGGGTGTTTTAGAAAACTTTTCAAATTATGCCCATTGTTTTGCCCACCTCCTCCTATCCCCTTTGCTCCTATTATATTATTCAGAAAGTAGGTACAATTAATGGGCTGGAGATATAGCACAGTGGGTAAGGCGTTTGTCTTGCACGCTGCCAACCACGTCCGCCCAGGTTCTATTCCTCCGCCCCTCTCAGAGAGCCCAGCAAGCTACAGAGAGTATCTCGCCCCACTGCAAAACCTGGCAAGCTATCCATGACGTATTCGATATGCCAAAAACAGTAACAAGTCTCACAATGTTACTGGGCCTGGTCAAGCAAATCGATGAACAATGGGAGGACAGTGCTACAGGGCTAGGTATAATTAATGTTCCAATACAAAATGAATGCTTTACATCCTATATCTTGTTAAAGTTAAAACTTAATACTCATCCAAGATCATATTTTACTTCAAAGTTCGGTTTGGAAAATATTTTAATTTTAAGCTATGTAATAATATAAAAGAACCAGATTTTGTAGTTAAAATACTTCCCTGGCAAAGCTATATGCTTTGTTTACAAATAGAAAGCTTAGTATATACACACTATCTCATTTACATAACTATTAGGTTTATAGTATAAATAAATTTAAACCTATGTTATTTCTGAGCTGGACTTAATCCAGCCAGAAATAGGATGTTAAGAAAGAAAACACAAAGGAAAATGAAATAATTGCATGGTATACATAGGTGTGTACATATATAGTTTGTATGAATAAAGTCGATTAAATTGGATGATTATTTTTGTTTATATATTTCTCATTTAAAATTTTTCTAATATTTATGTAAATTTCTCTGACTCCTTTTGTAAAATTATCTTATTTTTACTTCAAAATAAAAATTATAATTTAAAAATGAATATATAGTATACCTGTTTCAACAATGACCTATAAAATTTTAAATGTTTCTAAGTTGATAAGAAATGGTATATGCTGACTCTATTGTGAAAAATTATAGGAATTGTAGGTTAATTACAGCTAGGGATTCGGCTCTAATTGGTTAGAAAATTTTCTTCCATTTAAACATTTTGACCTACATTGCATATTGCACTTTTGTGCTTTAAAAAGTCAAGCTCAGCTTCCTTGATTTTTTTCTTAAACTCAGCTTTGAAAGTTGTCTACTTCACACTACATTTTAAAAATAAACGTTAGCTTATTTAAATTTTCACTGAGATCCATTTGTAGCATACTTTCTGAGGAATTTTTATCATCTGAATTTTAATGTAAAATGTTATAAAGTATGAGTGCTGGAGAGACCAATAAGACCACGGCTATTTTCAAACAACTAATACCAAATATCGAGTAAAATAAATAAATACATTATGTCTATGTTAACCTAACAATTATGGAAAGACTATAATCATGAAACTATTGGTAATCCAATGACATACTTTTAATTCAACTCAAGCAGAAGTTAGAAAGAAATATTGACTACACAGATGAAAAATAAAGAGAAGTTGACCACAAAATTCTCATTCTGCAAGGAGTTTAAATGCAAATGTTTGAAATAATTTTTTTTTTTGGGAGGGCTCAGGTCACAGCAGTGATTCTCATGGCTTACTCCTGGCTCTACAGTCAGGAATTACTCCTGGTGATGTTTGGGGACCATAAAGGATGCCAGAGACCAAACCTGGGTCTGTTGCTTGCAATGCAAGTTCTCTACCCACTGTACAATCTCTGACTTCTAATTTATTTTTCTTATGTGTTTAAATTAGAATTGTGAAGGTATATGATCAAATCAAAATAATAAGGAATACTGGAGCTTTCTAGCCACTTTGAAACTCTTAAAAGGAGTTTGAAAACATTAGCAATCAGAAAGATGAGAAGGAAATTCTCAGTAAATTTTAAACAGGAGGTGCCATCCACTCCATGATGGAAACAAATGAAATATATAAATTACAGTCAGTTATCTATACAACTTCAAAAAAAATCTGCTAGTAGCTTAGAAAACTATCTAAATTCTATAGTGTCAAGCATGATGGTAATGAGTTTGGTGCTGACTAGGCCACCAAAATACAATTTATAAACACATAATATGCAATGCAAACCTACAGAATATTCAGGGAAGTTACAGGTTAAGTCTAAGTGTAAAGTTGCTGGAGGCAATATATTGATAGAATCAAGGGGTATCATAAACTTGAATGTGGACAATATTAGCTTTTCTTTTTATTATCAGCTAACTAACTGAGCATATTCTTCTATTTTTGAATGTGGGCAACAGAATAGAATAGTATTGTCCATAAAATCTCAAATACTTTAAATACCATTTTAATTGTTATGGATAGCTTAAAATAACTTTTCATGATAATCACTACTTTAAAACTGCTGTAGGGGGCTGAAGCGATAGTACAGTGGATGGGGCGTTTGCCTTGCACACGGCTGACCCTGGTTAGATTCCCAGCATCCCATATGGTCCCCTGAGCACCCCAAGGAGTAATACCTGAGTGCAGAGCCAGGAGTAACCCCTGTGCATCACTGTGTGTGACCCCAAAAGCAGATAAAAAAACGCTGTAGATACTAGACCTTCCATAGATGGTTAATGTTAATATGTTATTGCATGTAATTGCTATTTTTATTATACTTTTATACGTTTTCTTTGTAATAGTTACATTACTAAATAACACTGTTGGTTTCCTTTGGAGATCTGTATACTCTTTATTTGGACTTTCTTGTTGTTTTTTTTTTTAAACTCTTACATGAAATTTATTTGCTGACTTTTCTTTTTTTTTTTTTTACTCTATTCTTATTTATTTATTTATTTATTTATTATTATTTTTAGTGAAACACCATGAGGTACAGTTGTAGATTTACAATTTTTGTGCTTGGGTTTCGATTATACAATGATCAAATACCCATCCCTCCACCAGTGCCCATTTTCCACCACCATGGATAATATCCCTCCCACCCCTATCCCTCCCATCTCACCCTGCCTCTGTGGCAGGGCAATCCCCCGTGTTCTCTCTCTCCTTTTGGGTGTTGTGTGGACTTTCTTATTGTTTTGTGAGGAGTTTTTAAGAGAAAAACTGAAAACCAAATAATTCTAAAAGGTGTTTCAGACTTCACAAAGTTGTCTCAGAGTTCTGTGGAAAAAAACAAGTGATCTTAACTATTTCTAGTCAGGTACTCATATCTGCACAGGCTTCATTGTTCTAGAAGGTGGTTTTAATCCTTTTAATAGTAAGAAGTCACCATCATATACCTTTTTTTCTAGAGCCGTCAAGAAGATTTATCATTCAAGGGGATGTCTATAGTCAGGTGACTCTGGGTAGTGGATTGTTGACAATATAATGAAGGGCATTTTACTTAGACTAAAGCCAGTTGATAAAAGATTAAATGGAAGAAGGAAGCAAGGTGATGGGATGTAGAATCCCTAAATTGCGGAATCTCTGAGTAGTAATCCATAACAGTCAAATCAATTATCGCAAAAGACAGGTTGTCCCTGTTTACAAAATGATAGTGTTTGCCCAGTTTCACTGAGAAAAATCACAGTTTTTTTTGCTTTAAAAAAAACTGATACTGACTTTTTAAAAAGTACAGTATAATATCTTTAGGATGGGGATCATCTCTATAGTTTTTTTTCTGAACCCTTCACCCCCATAGTATTATTTCATATCTATCTCAGGATCTAGAGCAAGGCTTCTTAAACTTTTCTCACTTTTAAACGCTGTTTCCTCAAGAAATGCAACATAGGCATGTGATTCAGTTTGCTGTAGATTTTGAATGGGTTTTTGGTTGGGTATATTCAGAGATATTTCCTTGTTACCCATTTTTTTTTTGCAATGCTCACATTCAGTTACATGGGGTTGTTATCTACAGTTTAGCTAAAGTCAAGATGAGACATGAAGTATTCAAGTCTGGATTTTGGCAAGAATACTTTATATAGGGAGCTCCATGCATCCTGTTACAGCGGAAAATGTGCAGGAAGAAATAACACTACTGTAAACAGTGCTAAATTTTACCACATAGTTAAGGTGACAGGTCTTGAATTACAGTAATGCCACATTTTTTCCCTTTAGAATTAATAAATGATCTAATGCCTTCAGTATTTATTGATAATCCTTCCTTAATACTTACATATTGGGCTTGCCTAATTTTCCAAGTCTGACATGACCCTACATTTACGAGGTAGCTTTCTTCAAGTTATTAAAAGGAA